TGTATCATGTTATAAAGAAGTCGGCAGAGGAGCCTGGAGAGATGGCTCAGAGGTTAAGGGCACTCTTCCAGAGGTCCTGAGTTCAATTCCAGCAACCACTCAGTGGCTCACAACCATCTGTAATGAGATCTGGTGCCCTCTTCTGATGTGCAAGCATACATGCAGACAGAACACTGTATACATAATAAATAAATAAATAAATAAATCTTTTTTAAAAAGAAAGAAGAGGTCTGCAGAGATCAGAAGAGGCATTAGACTCCCTAGAGCTGGAGTTACAGACAGCTGTGAGCCAACATATGTGTGCTGGGAACCGACCCTGGATCCTCTGCAAGTGCAAGTCAGTGCTCTTAAACACTGAGCCATCTCTCCAGCCCCATCACTTGGGGATTCCTATTTCTGTCCTAGCCCAATTTTTAAAACTTCTCAAAGAAGGGAGAACACTGCTGGGGTCCCGTTGGCCTCACGCTCCCTCACGCACAGAGTCGCATCTGCAGAGTTGCGTCCGTGCCACACTCCCAGATGCTCTTGGCCTCCCTCTCCTCTCCCGTGCATTCCCCCCGGCGAGGATTTCATTTAGGACAGTGAGTTTGCTTGGGGGCCTTTATCCCTTCTGGGTTCTCTTTGGTTCTGCTACTGAGAAGTATCTTTTGCTCCTTCAGCTTCCTGGGAGGGGCCAGCCTTAGTCAGGCATGGGAGGAGGAAGCAGCCGGCCAGCCGGCAGTGACTGTGAACATTGTCTAATTCAGGGATTTCTAGAAAGATCATCTGGCTTCAGATCGGAAGCGACAATCTGCAGATGGCTTCATCGGTAATGAGGCTGACACTCTGACCCCCTAGGTCTGGCGCCTCCTTTCAATTGGTTCCAAACCAAGACAGGCAGGAAATGGGGACAGCGAGCTGCTTTATTTTCCCTTTTAACAGAAGTGAAAAATATGTCCCCACATTGGCTAAGATGCTAGCTGTTACTGTCACAAAGACAATCTCTCCCACACTTTTATTCTAGTTTACTACAAGATGTAATAAGAAATGGATATTAAAGATTATCAACTGATGTTATCAAGGTTTGTTTCTATTGTCTTTAAGTGTGTGTGGGGGGGAGGTGTCCCCATAAGGGGCTATATGTACCTGAATGCAGGCACCCATGGAGATCAGAAAAGGGTGTCAGATTCCCTGGAGTTGTAGTGACAGGCAGTTGTGAGCCACTATCTGGGTGCAAGGAAATGAATTCAGGTCTTCTGGAAGAACTGCATCATGCTGGCTAATTTTATGTCAACTTGACACAAGCTAGAGTCATCTGAGAGAAGACAGTCCCCACTGAGCCATAGATCTGGCTGGAGAAGATCCTGTAGGGCATTTTCTTAATTAGTGATTGATGTGAGAAGGCCCAGCCCATTGTGGGTGGTTCCATTCCTAGGCTGGTGGTCCTGGGTTCTATAAGAAAACAGGCTGAGCAAGCCATATGAGCAAGCCAGTAAGCAGCACCCCTCCATGGCCTCTGCATCAGCTCCTGCCTCCAGGTTCCTGCCCTGTTTGAGTTCCTATCCTGACTTCCTTCAGTGATGAACAGAGATATGGAAGTGGAAGTCAAATAAATCTTTTCCTCCCCAAGTTGCTTTTTGGCCATGGTGTTTCATCACAGTAACTGTCACCCTAACTAGGTCAAGCAATGTGACCTGAGTCAATGATTTCCTGCCCATTTTCTCATGAGCCAAGTGAGGACACAAAAGTCCCTGCCCCTGAGCTCTGAGAAAAGAAAGCACAGAGAGAGGCACAGGACTTTAGAAAGTGCAGGAACATGTCATCAGCCTGTAGTGTAAGGTTTGCTATGTTCTCCACACAGCCAGTGCCTGGCCTATGACAGGATTCAGAAGTGGTTTACAAGTGAAGTTTAGACTTACAACCACCTTTGAGAAGGCTGAGGCCAGAGGATCACCATGAATTCAAGACCATCCAAGACCCTGTCTCAGAACTATGGGTGGGGGAGTGGAGTTGGTAAATGAAATTCAAGTATTTGTTCTTGAGAAGACATCCTCACCTCCATCCTCTGTCTAGGCAGCACAATGCTTAGACCTTCAACAGAAACTGAAACTCCTGCCAGAACAGAAACTCCTGCCAGAGTCACCAGAAATACCTAACATGCCTGGCTGGTGTCACACCCCATCAAAACACAGAGAAAACTAAGTGGTCCTGCTTTCTTGTTGCACAAATAGCCGCTATGAAAACCTCTCCACCACCCACTAAGCTGATGGGCAAGCCAATCCTGCCACAGAACAGTGAGTAAGTTCTCTCTAATGCCTTGGATGATACTGTTGATACTATTCACTCTGATGCCTTGGTTGAAATTGTTGCCCTTAAAAATGTGTGAGAGACACAGCTAGAAAGAATCAGAGATTTTAGCCAGATTGTAAAGTTCCTGGCTCTCCCAGCTCTCAATCAGGGAAACTACTAGATTAGCCACTAGAAAGATCAATTAGATCCTTCTTTGTTGCTGTAACAAAATACCTAAAGCAGGCCACTTTATAAAGAAGAAAGCTTTCCTGTGCCTCAAGGTCAAAGGTCTTATCTAGTAATGACCTTTTTGCTGGTAGAGTACCGAGGTGGCATGGCTACTGTGTGACAAGAGACAGGGAGTGTTTTGTGGGTATGTGTCTCTCTCCCTCTTACAAAACCAGCCAGACTCAATCATGGAGCCTGCACTCTAATGAATTTTATCCTATTCACTTTCCAAAAGTCCTACCTTGATCTGGACACTATGGCTAATGCCTGTAACCCCACCACTGGAGAGACTGAGGTAACAAAAGGGCCAGTTTCAACCAGACTGGACTATATCAAATCGCCTTGTGCCACAATCCTTCCAACCTCCCAGAATTGGCTAAGTTTAATCGTAAATTCAGGCAGGTAAAGGTCTAAGGATGTGACTCTGTCATTGTAGCAGGCTTGAAGATCTGAGTTCTCTGGCATCCTCAAAAAAGCTAGGCATGGCAATGAGCAATTACAATCCTAGCACTGGAGGTAATAGACACAAGGAGGCTTGCTGGTCATCCAAGCCAGATGAATCAGTGGACTCCAGGATCAGAGAAAGACCATACCTCAGTAAGTAACGTAGAATCATTAAAAAAATAGACACCTGATGCTGACCTCTGTTCCTGCACATACAGAGAGAGAGAGAGAAAGAGAGAGAGAGAGAGAGAGAGAGAGAGGTATACAGACACCACATACATACAAAGAATACAAAAAAATACAGTTCCCTCAAATATGGGGCTTTCATCCCCACCAGTGATTGTTTAAAAGCTAAAAGAGAAACAAGGAAGCTCCCCGGTTTAGAGGAAGCCAGGATCTACCTGCCATGATTGCCTTATGTGTTGTGAACCTTTCAAAGACAACCACTAAAGGAGAAAGTGAGATGCGTGGTTTCTAAGAATTAAATAGGAGGCTGTGGCGGGGAAATTTTCATACTGAAATAAAGAAATGCATGTTGCCTTAAATATAATTTGTGTTAGTTACATTTCAATTCCTAATTTATACATCACAGGCTTGATAAAGGATTACATTATAACAAAATTAGCCAGGATCATTAGCATAGTGTATGTGCCGCTGATTAACCACCCAGCAGATCGCTGGGTAATTAAGATCGGCGAGGGCCGTATTTTGAGACATTGTCATCCTATTATCTGCCTAACAAGTGCTGGGCCTTTGCCTCCCTTCTGATTTGGAGTTTGATAGCAGCCTTGCCCAATGCCACTGTGTTTCTGTGCACTCGATCCACCGTATCCACTAGTCCCTGTGGCCACCACTCAGACCCACAGCAAATCGCCTTCATATGGGAGTACAAACTCAAGACACCAGGGCTGGGGATGGAGCACTTGCCTAGCATTCAGGTAGACCGGGGGTCCATCCGCAGCCCCACACACACTCGGACAATCATCTCAGCGCTCAGGAGGAGGAGGCAGAAGGATCGGGAGTTTAAGGTTGTAAATAATAAGCTTGAAGCCATCCTGAACTACAGGATGTCTGTAAATTGATCAGTAATTAAATAATATGGAATGTCAGCATATAAGCCCTCCCAACACAACAGAAGGCCCAAGATCAGGTCAGGTCTCTGTGGCCTCAGCTTTAAGAAAGGAAACAGTCAACAAGACCTGTAAGCTGGCCGTGAGGCACATACCTCTCACCCCTGCACGCCAGAGGCTGAGGCAGGAGGATAGCAGGTTCAAGTTCAGCTTAAGCTACAGAGTGTAGCTCTGTGGTGTGCTTTCAATGTAAAATGTCCCCAGAGGCTCATGTGTTTTGATACTTGGTCCAGAGCTGGTGGCACTGTTTTGGAAGATTGTGGAGCCTTCAGGAGGTGGAGCCTCACTGCAGGAAGTGAGTCACAGGGGCTGGCCTTGATGTCTTTTGGCACCACCACACTTCCTGTCTGCTCACTGTTTCATGACTGTGGAGGTGATGACTGTGGAGGTGATACGACGAGCTGCCTCACACTCCTGTCACCATGCCTCCTCCCCTTCAGTACTGTAAGCCAGTACTTCCTGTTCTATACTGTACTTCCCTGATGGACTGTAGCTCCTGTAACTGTGAGCCAAAGTCAGCCCCCCTCCACACACACACACACACACACACACACACACACATACACACACACACCACACTTTAAGCTGCTTCCTGCATGGTATTTGGTTACATCAATGAGAAAAGTGACTGATCCAGCCATCTCAAACAACCTCACCCCCAGAGTTTCCCTCTAAATAGCTTTACTACTTCTCCAAACACACTAAAATGCCTACTGCCCGTCCCTCTAGCAGCCTGCACAGTGGCCCAGAGACGAGGCCTCCTCCTCAGTCCTGCAATTGAGGTAGTTGCAGCAACGTGGGCCCTCCCTGCTGACAGTAACCCAGCCCTGGTTCTATTTATAGCCACCTGTGCTGCTCCGGGGACAGGGCTAACAATGGACATGAGTTAGAGGAAGAAAAGAAGGCTGGCCCCTGCACAGGGACACCACAATGTCCAGCTGGGACTCACCACCGGATTACCCCCTCAGCTCAGACTTAGTGGGGAGATTAAAGTCTGCCCTGGCCACTGGGGACAACGACACTGTACAGGAACTGATCTGCACTGAGGTGGAGCCCGTGGACGCCGTGATAGAGCTGGCTAATGACGACTGGATGAAGGAGCCCTCAGCTCAGCTGCCCACAGGCGCACTGCTAGGTAACCACAGGAGGCCACAGGCCAGTTACTAATGCATGCTGGGATCTGTCCTGGTGAGGGAAGGCAATGGTTCAGACAGGTGCTGATGCAGCCTTGATATCCACTTCTTATTTAGCTATGTGTTAAACTAAATAACAAATGGGGAGACTCTCCAAGACAGTAGCTATATTGGCAGGTAGACATTGCGATGGGCTGGAATTTGCAGCCATGTTCAAGGATGGGCAGCTAGGGGAAGCTAATAAAACGTAGTATCTTAGTTAAGGTTTCTATTGCCATGAAATGACACCATGGCCACAGCAACTCTTATAAAAGAAAACATTTAACTGGGGCATGCTTGCAGTTCAGAGGGTCAGTCCGTTATTGTCATGGTGGGGAGCTTGGAGGCAGGCAGGCAGACACGGTATTGGAGAAGGAACTGAGAGTTTTACATCTGGATCCACAAGCAACAGGAAGAGGGAGTGACACTGGGCCTGGCTTGAGCGTCTGAAACCTCAAAACCCTCCCCTAGTGACACTCCCAAAACCCCACACCTACTCCAAGAAGGCCACACCTCCTAATAGTGCCTGCCACTCCCTCTGAGCCTATAGAAGCCATTTTCACTCAACCCACCTTGCAGCAAGAAGAGCTGAGTAAGATATCACTGCAAAGACCAGTAACAAGGGTGAGGCTGCCAGAGTGTTGGCCCCGAATGCCCAGGGATCTGGGCTCCATCCCAAGAACTGCAGATTATATAAGTCTCCAGAGCCACATCTGTTTAGGCTGGACAGGCAGTCACTGGACAGACAGACATGCCTACAGAAGCACTTTCTGTGGAAGGTCTTGGTGGCCTTTGTTCTGGCAGTTTCTGTAACTTCTAGTTACCAGGAATAAGGTCCCCTCTCCCCCAGTTTTGGCTGCATTTTTCATACTTGGGGTTCAGTACAGGTGATTTCGTCTTCCACAATGCTTGCACACTCATCTATAACACATGCTGAGGATGTGTGTGTGTTTCCGTAGCATCAAGTTCACTATTATACACAATAATCAAGAGAAGAGCCGAGTATCTGCTGTACCCCGGGACAGGCTGTTCTCACACCCATCCTTCCCCTCCTCTATCCATTTATGCTGGAAATTTCACAGACCCACTCCTACATCCCAGCGGCTATTTCATGGGCTTTTACATATCCCAAAAGATTTATAGTAGGGGCAGAAGAGATGGCTCAATGGTTAAGAGCATGTACTGCTCTTGCAAAGGACCCAAGTTGGGTTCCCAACATCCAACTCTGGCAGCTCACAACTGCCTAGAACTGCAGCTCCAGGGGGATCTGGCGCCCTCTTCTGGCTGCTGTAGGCACTGCACTCACATGCACAAACAAATGCCCGCACACACATTTTTATTAATTTATTTTTTAGCTCTACACATGCATGCATAATAAAAATAAAGCAAATTCATCATATGTAGAGATTAACCCCAAAACCCTTAAACCAGATGCCTACAGAAGACTGTCTTTACACTACTGTTCTTATAAATAACACTGTAATCAAAGTCTTTGGTACCATCTGTATGCCTTCATTCTTATACAAAGGTGAATCATTTGATGAATTCCTGGGAACCATGTGACTGGTACAGAAATATAAATTTTTCCTGTAATATGTTTCAAAATCCAAAAGTAAGTAAAGAAACATGTTTTGCCATGGCCCCCAAGAGCATGAGCATTGCCGGCTTTGAGAATCTGCATTGAAATTGGCAGTTTAATGAGGGAGGGCTGACAATTCTTCACTGCCTGGTAGGCCGTCCCCACCGTGTGTGTGTGTGTGTGTGTGTGTGTGTGTGTGTGTGTGTTCGCATGGGTACACACGAGGACAAGGGTGCATATGTAATTAGGAGGATGCACGTGTCAGGGAAATGGGTATGCCTGTGTGTGTATGGGCCTGGGGAACACGGAGGTCAACCTCAGGTATTGTATATCAGGCCCCCTCTATCTGCTTTTTGGAGACAGGGTCTCTCGCTGTCCTGGAATTCACCATGTGTAGTAGGCTAGTGGGCCCGAGAGCCCAGGGATCCACCCACCTCGGCCAACCCAGTTGTGGGATTACAAGCATGCAGTGCCACCCCCAGCACTTCTGTGTGGGTTCTGGGAACTAAACTTGGGTCCTCACGACTGCCTGTTGGGTACTGTACTGATCGAGCCATCTCCCCAGCCCTTAACTATCCCTTCTCTTCTCACCAGACACAGGTTTTTGGGTGGCCCTGTGGGGTTCTTCACTGTGGTACTTGTCTGTGTGGGTCCATGGCCAATGTCTTCCATATTTTTGAATCCTTTTGCCATTGTTACATAGCAGAGACATGTTCTCCTGGTCACATTTGCTGCAAGGTTGTTCCTTGTGGTCAACTGTTGATTGTTGTCAACTGTAGTCTAGCTAGTCAGATGTATCCTTAGGGTGCTGGTCCTGAGTCCTCAGAGCTATTACCTGGTCAGACCTCCCCATGTACATGTATCCATGGGCACACATGACATTACACATTCATGCATGCATGGCTACATGTATGCACTGGCATGAGGAACATGCATGGGGCATTGCTGCTGGGGAATAACTCAGAATGGATGAGGATGGAAATCCAAGGTTGGAACCATCCATCCCATGCCTGTGACTGGAGTATCCTTCCTAGGCCAACATTCCCTGTGTTCTGTGGTGTTTAAGCTCCTTTTAGAGAGGTACTTCTGATTCCTCACATCTGAGGTCCTCGGACATGTCAGCCTCGACCTTCAGCTCAGCACATCTGTCCAGGAGCCAGGTCAAAGAATCAAAAGAAAGAGGTTTTGTCTTCACAGATGGTGATGCAATTGGAAATAATGTACTTGCCCTCCTGGCCCAGTCTGCACTCTTCCCTGAGGCTAAACAGCATGAACTGCATTGCCTTCTCCTTGACCTCTGGACTCCTGTTCAGTGCAGTGTGTAGAATGTGCTAGAAAGAGAAGGGCCAGGTCATTGTTTCAGTCAGCAAAGGTCTTCCTGTGCATGCCCAGCTCCTGCCTGTAGCTCCCACCTCCTGGGGGGCTTTCCTTAATCTGCTGCCTTCCTCAAAGCCTGCAGTCATGCTACCTGCCTCCTGCCACCTGCCACCAGCTGAGACCCTCGCCAGAGCAAGTGTCCTGTCTACACTTCTCTTGCTAACATCCCAAATGGTTAAGATTTGTATATTGGAATCCTCTCTTTAAAGTGTCACTTCTTACCATGTTGCTAATTAGGTGACAAAGTCTTTCCCATACAGTTACTCTGCAGAATGCTTGAAACTGACAAAATACATGGGGAAGTTACAGTCTTCCCACCACGAGTCCGTTGGTTATAGATTTTTATGCCCAGACTTCTCCCCGCCAGATATGTGACAGCGTGAGGGACTTGTGACCTGCCACTACACACTATGTGAGCCAAGAATGGTGCTTTGTCAGTCTGGCCAGTGTCTCTGAGTGCTGTGTAGGACATGGGAGTGGGCTTCCCTTGGTAGGTCCTTGAGTTTCACATAGGAACTCCTGGATGGGCTGAACTTGGACCTGCTCTCTGCATTGCCCTCAGAGACACTGGCATCCTAAAGGCTCATAATGGTCCCCATTTGAAATTAGTATGCTTTTATCTTATATGAATTTTGAGCCATGAAATTGTTGACTGTTGGTGATCCTTTGGGACCCACTAGTAATCCCATTCCTTTTCCCAATCAAGTTGTCCTTGTAGTGTGTGTGTGTGTGTGTGTGTGTGTGTGTGTGTGTGTGTGTGTGTGTGCTCCTGTCTCCACCTCCAGGCACTGGGATTCCAGGCATGTGCCACCCACTGTGCCTGGCTTTTTATGTGGATGCTTGGAATCTGAACTCACATCCTCATGAGTGTGCAACAAGCATGCTACTCACTGAGCTGTCTCCCTGGGCTATTTTTTTATGCCACCAGATATGCCAAGCTCACATACCACTCCTGGGCCTCACACTCCGTATTCCATGTCTTAAACGGGGCCTCAGCCTTGAGGAGAAGCTCAGTCATGAGGCACAGGGCTGGCATGGACAACCAAGCTCCTCTGCTGACGTTACACTGGATGGATGCTGACCCTATTCACAAACCTCTCCTGCAGAGAAATATTTCACTCCCCTTCAAAGCCAAAGCCAACCTCCTCCTATTGATGGTTGATGACAATTGCATCATTTGTCCTGGCTTCTTTCCCACACTGGCTGAAGTACAGAGCAGGGGAAATGGTCGCTGAGAGGAGAGTAGCGAGACCCACCTAACCCCTCAAATGCATCAACTGTACAATTTAGTAACTGCCATAATCACATCCTTAAGAAACAACTGATTGCTAATTGCTATTATTAAGGGTGTCAGCATTCTGTGATTCTGCGGAGGGCACATCATATACAAGTCAAGATGCTACTTGAATTCCTGATGGAAACAGAGGAACGGATGTATTTTGTTGTGTTTAGGGCAATGGTATTTAAGCATCCAGGGGGAAACTAAAGAAAGACTAATTGGGCTTTTATTAAGAGGTCTCCCCAGTCGCATCTATAGGTTGGATGAGAGCACATGAACATGCAACAGATGTGGACACATGTGAAAATGAGGACCAGTTGTGAATGGGACTTCTTACCCAGGGCTGTATGCTGGAGGCGTCATGACACTTAGCTTTATCCACCATGCTACCATGTCGGTCATACTTCCTTACATATGGAGAGGGATACCACATGGGACATGTAAGCTGAGTGAGCACATATGCCTACTGTCACAAGAGACATGATTACCAGGATCAGACTAGCAGTATAATGGGACAGGCAAAGTCTTTGAACATGTCCATCCATTCCTCTGAAGCTTAATTTCCTCAATGAAAAAGAAAAAGAGATCAGTCTGTGTCAACGCTGAGACTCTCTACAAAATGGACTGGCTAGGGTTCTGAGAAGGACTTGCATCCATGGAGGAAATTAGCATCACCCATTCCCAGACACCCTGCCTGCTTAAGTAGTTCTTCCCGCAGAGGTCTGTGC